GGGGGCCGTGGGGTTTGGGGGGTGCGGGTCCCTGTCCCCCCGGGGAGGAGCGGCCTGGGTTTCCCTGCTGGGGGGCGTCTGCCGGGGGGGCCAAAAGGCCGCCGAGCCCTCACCTCTCTGCCTCTCCCTTTGCTTCAGCTGGGCTGCCAGGATGCTGCGCTCTCGGCGCCCGGGAGAGGACTGCGCCCCCGAAGTCGTCGTCCCCAGTTGATGCAGCCCAAGGGCCATGGAGAGGGGCTGCCCGGAGGAGCCCGCCCGCAGCGGGGGGCAGCCGTCGGCCCCCGGGCGGCGGGAGGAGAGCAGGGAGCGGCCGCCCGAGGGGGCCGACGGCTGCGGGGGGGCTGCGGAGCCTCAGGCGCCCCCCGGGAAGCTGAAGAAAACGGCTTTGAGGCTGTTTGGGGGGAAGAGGAGCATCTGCACGCTGCCGAGTTTCTTTGGGGGCCGGAGCAAAGGGCAGGGGAAAGCGTCCTCGAAGAAGGGCCTGGGGAAATGCCGGACCCACGAGGGGCTGAGTGGAGGCGGCGGCGAGCAGGGCGATGGGGCGCCGCTGGAAAGCCCCTGGGAGGGGAGCGGGGAGTCGCCTCCCTGCCCTTTGCCGAGCTCCCGGAGCGCTCCCTCGGCCGTGGACGCCGGGTCGGAGTCGGGGCGGCGGGACGGCTCTCCCCCCATGGAGGGCTGCGAGAAGAAGGCCGGCGGCGAGAAGTCCTCCCTGCCCAGAGCCAAGAAAGGGCTGAAGGGGTTTCTGAACAGCATCCGGCGTCACCGGAAGAGCAAGGCTGCCGAGAGCGAGCCGGCGGAGCTCCCCGAGTGGAGCGGGGCCGCGGAGGAGGCCGGCAAAGACGCCGGTGCGGGAGCGGAGAGCCGAGGGGCCGCGGGGGGAAGGGGCCCGGGCCCTGTCCCTGCTGCCGTGCCCGCCCCGGGGGGCTTGGGGGGTGAGGGCTCAGCGGCCACGGCCACCCCCTGCGGGGAGGCTGCCCAGCCCGGCCGTCCCGCGGCCAGTGATGGTGGCTCTGAGGGCGACGCGGCGGCGATGCCGGGGGAGAGGGAGGGTGCGGGTACGAAGTCGGAGGCCGAGGCCGTTACCTGCGCGGAGTTGGACCCCGAGCAGCTGCTGCTGGCCTTTCATCCGGACTTGGTGGACACCGACCCTCCGTGCCTGCACGCCGGGGAGCTGCTCAGCCTCCTGCTGGGGGACGTCACCTCCCTGAAGAGCTTCGACTCCCTGACGGGGTGCGGGGACGACATCGCGGAGCCCGAGGTGGCGGAGAGCAGCCTCTCGGTGGAGCGCGGCAGGGACGCGGGCAAGCGGAGCTCGTGCCTGGTGAGCTACCAGGGCGGTGGGGAGGAGATGGCCGAGGCGGAGGAGGCGGAGAAGTTCCTCCCCCAGGTGTGGGAGGGCAGCGGGGACAGGGGCTACGGAGCCCAGGTGTCGAGCAGCAGCTTGGAGACGCAGGACGGCCGCCCTTACGTGGGGGACGCGCTGGAGGGCGTGGAGCTCCTGACGCCGCAGAGCGAGCAGCAAGAGTCGGCCCCGAACAGCGACGAGGGCTACTACGACTCCACCACGCCGGGGCCGGAGGAGGAAGGCGGGGAGGGGCTGGGGGAGCTGAAGAAGGAGCGTCTTCCCCGGGACAGCTACAGCGGGGACGCGCTCTACGAGTTCGACGCGCTGCTGAGCCCCTCTCTCGGGGAGGAGTCCCTGTTTGAGGGCAAAGTCTCCCGCCCGGGCATCTTCAGCTACTTCTTGGACTTCTGCCTGCCCGTGGAGAAGAGCCTGGTCCGGGCGCTGGGGGAGAAGCGGGGGCTGATGGAGACGGAGGAGGAGCGGCTGGCGGCCATTCAGAAGGAGCTGCTGTACTGGGAGCTGCAGAGGGAACCGCTGCCCCGGCGCCGCGACCTTCCCGGCCGGGAGAAGTGTCCGCGGGACAAGCCCTGCCTGGAATGCCAAGGCCGAGGGGCCGGCTCCGGCGGCAAGCAGGCGAGCAGGCTCGGTAGCCCCCCGGCGGGCTCGCCCGGGCCCAGGAGGGGTGTGAACGGCGGGGTGTCGGCGGCCAGAGGCGAGAAGGCGGAGTGGGGGGACTTGGCGGGGCCCGTGTGCCCGGAGAGCCGTCCCGACGGCCACCAGGCCCAGGGTGGTGGCCTCCTCCCGCCGGGGAAGAGCCCCACAGGGCCGGCCTCGGAGGCGCAGGGGGGGCTGCCGGGGGGCTCCGTGCCGGGCGGCGCGGCCCCGGGCAGAGCGGGGCTGTTCTCTGGCTACGGGCTCCCGGAGCGCGGCGGCGGCGACGATGAGCCCCCGGTGGGCGGCGAGGCCGAGCCCGAGCAGGCCGTGAGCTTCTCGCAGGCGCTGGTGGAGTTCGCCGGCAGCGGGACCCTCTTCTCCAGCCTCTCGGAAAGCCTGGGGAGCTCCGGCTCGGGCTCGTCCTTCACCCAGAACCTGCCCGCCCTCCCCACCATGGTCACCTTCGACATGGTGGACGTGGAGCAGGAGGGGGAAGGGGAGTGCGAGCGGCACCCCGAGCTGAACGGGGGCGAGGCCATCGCTGAGGCCTTCGAGGAGGGCTACGGGCGGAAGGAGTCGCCGGCCGAGTGCCGGGAGAGCCCGTCCCCGGGGGGCTCCTTCCCGAGCTGCCCGTGGGGCGTCGCCAGCCTGCCCCGCTGCCTGCGCCCCCACGGGCCCAGCCCCTCCACGCCGGCCCCGCTCTCCGTGGGCCGCAGGAGCCGCTCGCTGGACACCGAGAGCCTGGAGTGGGAGCTGGCCCACTCGCAGGAGGCCCCGGGTGGTGGCCCCCAGGCAGGCCGGCCGCGGTGGCCGCGGGAGGGTGGCAGAAGGGACTCGGGCGGCGCGAGGAGGAGCAGGAGCGAGGAGGAGGCGGAGGAGGCCGAGGGCGGCTGGAGCCGGCCGGGCGTATGGCCCCTGTGGGCTGAGGCCGAGGCAGCTGCCGGGGGGATGAAGCACTGGGGCTTCGCTCCGGCCGCCGCCGCGGAGAGGGCCTGGGAGGCGCCGGAGCAGCCCGTGTCCCCCGGGCCGTCCCTGTCCCGCAGCGTGGCCGGGGACCCTGCGTCCCGGTGGCCCCGGGAGCCCCAGGAGCCGGAGCCGAGCCGGCGCCCGTCGCGGCCCTGCCATTTGCCTCTGCGGGGCGAGGGCAGGCGGCCCCGGGAGCGGCCCCAGGGAGAAGCCGGCGGCCAGAAGCTGCCCGTCTGGTTGCCCCCGGGAGAAGCGGAGCCCGAGCTGCCCCCCGGCTTCCGCTTCGCCTGCTCCCCGGAGAAAGGCGCCCCGTGCAAACCCGTGGGCATCGCCCAGGGCATCCCTCAGCATCCCCCAGGCAGCGCCCGCCCCGCGGGGAGCCCGGAGCGCTGCGGGGAGCCCCTGAAGGGCAGGGCCGGCCCCGGGCACCCGCTGCCCCTGGGCTGTGCCAGCGCGGCCGGGAACGTCACCCCGGGGCAATAGGGAGGGTGTGGGGGGCTGCGGAGGGCAGGGAGGGGGAGAGTGGCCAGGAACCAGCAGTTTGGGGGGAGCTGAATGTAGAGCCGGGCTGAGGGGGGGGAGCTCCTCTCCCGCCTCCCCCCGGCCCGGGATCCGCAGGTTGGGCAGAGGCACGGCCTGGTTTTCCAGCGCCGAGAGCGGGAACAGCCCCCGGCGCCACTCGGAGCGGCCGGAGGAATCGCTGGGAAGGGCCCCGTTTGGCCTCGGTGGGTTTGGGGGTTCCTGCAGGGTGGGAGCTGGGGGAGCCTTTGGGGAGAAACGGGGCTTTTCCTTCCCCTTCTCGGTGGAATGTTTTTGGTTCAGACTCACCTTGAATGTCGTCCGTCTGGGTCTCCATTTGGGGAGGCCGGGAGGAAGGACACCGGTTCTTTCCCGAGCGAGGCCGGGAGGCCGCTCAGCCGAAAGGGGAATGTTGCAGTCACTTTTTTATTTATTTTTGTTCCATTTCCCTTGCCCCAAAGGAAAGCAGGAGATTTATTTTTTCCCATTTCCCTTGCCCCAAAGGAAAGCAGGAGCTTCTGTGTGCGTGTCGATACCGTGTTCCAGGTGTAGTTTTAATTTGCTCACAGGTACCGCTCTCGAAGAGCCGTGCTGTCGCCCGTGTCCCTTTCAAGACCAAAGTGTGGGTCCCTTCTCTGTCGTGCTCTGTCTTCCCGGTGCGTGATTCCCGGCTGAATCCTTTCCCGTGCTTTGTCCCTCGCTCCTCGCCTCTCCCGGGCCACGGGCACACGGACGAGGGCTTTGGAATAAGCTGAGTTTGCATCGTGTCTGTCGCTGAGACGTTGCAGATGCCGTTGCTTTCTTCAAAAGGAAGTTTTGTTGGTTTGGTGTTTTTTTTATAAATTCTTTTGCAGTTGTTTTTATTGCATCAATGTATAGGAGGAGAGTATTCTGTTCATTGGAACACAGGATGTGATGCAGCCTAAATTAGGCTCCCCAACTTCTTCCTCCAGGCTGCTGAGGCTTAAGTAGGCCCGTCTGTGTGTCTCTGGGCTGAATCCTTGCTTTTCCAGTCTTTTCCTCCCCGTCCTGCTGCTGGGAGTTACCGCAGGAACCCAAAGTGCCAGGTGTTTTCCCTCTGTGCCACCAGAGAGGGTTTTGTGGGACAAACCTGTCTCCTGATGGTGGGTTTGTGGGACAAACCCATCTCCTGATGCTGCTCCGCATCCCCCGAAGATGGAGAGGAGCCATTGTCACCCCTTGGCCTGGGCAGCAGCCCCGCGGTGGCTTTTTAGTCCCTCTTTTGTTTTCTCGTGTCACCAAAGGCGTCTGGTGGGTTCGGGGGTGTTTGGGGAGCATTTGTTTGGCCGTGGGGCAGCCTTTGCCAAAGTCTCGGGGGGGGAGGGTGGGAGCCTCTCGGTGCTCAGATGAATGTTCAGTTGGAGACGCGCGTCCCCAGGAACAGTCCTTTGGGTTTGGGGACATCCCGGGAAGGGTCGGTGCAAACAGCCCCTGGGCTCGGAAGGGGGAGAGCGATCCAGGGCAGGTTTGGGAATCGGGCTCCATACCCCATTTCCCTTGCCCCAAAGGAAAGCAGGAGCTTCTGTGTGCGTGTCGATACCGTGTTCCAGGTGTAGTTTTAATTTGCTCACAGGTACCGCTCTCGAAGAGCCGTGCTGTCGCCCGTGTCCCTTTCAAGACCAAAGTGTGGGTCCCTTCTCTGTCGTGCTCTGTCTTCCCGGTGCGTGATTCCCGGCTGAATCCTTTCCCGTGCTTTGTCCCTCGCTCCTCGCCTCTCCCGGGCCACGGGCACACGGACGAGGGCTTTGGAATAAGCTGAGTTTGCATCGTGTCTGTCGCTGAGACGTTGCAGATGCCGTTGCTTTCTTCAAAAGGAAGTTTTGTTGGTTTGGTGGTTTTTTTTATAAATTCTTTTGCAGTTGTTTTTATTGCATCAATCCATAGGAGGAGAGTATTCTGTTCATTGGAACACAGGATGTGATGCAGCCTAAATTAGGCTCCCCAACTTCTTCCTCCAGGCTGCCGAGGCTTGAGCAGACCCGTCTGTGTGTCCCTGGGCTGAATCCTTGCTTTTCCAGTCTTTTCCTCCCCGTCCTGCTGCTGGGAGTTACCGCAGGAACCCAAAGTGCCAGGTGTTTTCCCTCCGTGCCACCGGAGAGGGTTTTGTGGGACAAACCTGTCTCCTGATGGTGGGTTTGTGGGACAAACCTGTCTCCTGATGCTGCTCCGCATCCCCCGGAGATGGAGAGGAGCCGTTGTTACCCCTTGGCCTGGGCAGCAGCCCCGCGGTGACTTTTTAATCCCTCTTTTGTTTCTCGTGTCACCAAGGGCATCTGGCGGGTTCGGGGGAGTTTGGGGAGCGTTTGTTTGGCCGTGGGGCAGCCTTTGCCAAAGTCTCGGGGGGGGTGGGAGCCTCTCGGTGCTCAGATGAATGTTCAGTTGGAGACGCGCGTCCCCAGGAACAGCCCCTTGGGTTTGGGGACATCCCGGGAAGGCTCGGTGCAAACAGCCCCTGGGCTCGGAAGGGGGAGAGCGATCCAGGGCAGGTTTGGGAATCGGGCTCCATACCAAAGCTTTCTCCTCTTAATTTGATGTGAACTAAACGAGGCAAATCTCTCTGGATGTAAAAGGAGTTTTTGAAAGGCGTGTTTGGAGCCAATTTGCTGGATCATTGGCGTATCCCGCCAAGTTATCCCAAAGAAATAAGAAGTTTCCATGGGCTGTCCCAGGCTGTAAGTTGTCCCTGCCCTGGAGAGATTGGGTGTCGGTGCCGAAGGGGCGGCTCTTCCTGAAATCCCCGTCTGTCCCGGGACGGACAGGGACAGAGCTTCTGCTCTGGGGCTGGATGAGCCGTGGGTCAGAGACCGCCCGAGCCGAGGGACTCAACCTGGGGGGTGGGAACTTTTGCTGGGAAAGGGCTCCCGAAGCAGAGAGAAGCCCTACAAGTCAGTAACGAGTCAGTAAGAGGGATTGTCCTGCCGAGCTGTTGGGGAGAACCTGCCCTGGAGGAACCGGCCTGGAGACGTCCCTTCAGGGCAGGTCTGGCCTCACAGGGCTGAGTCCTGGCCGTTGGTTTGCGCTGAAACCGCCGCCGTCGGGGTCAGTCTCCCCAGGGATTCTGTGTTGCCTTTTGGGGACCTTGGGCTTTTTTGTTGTTTGTTTTTATACACAGGAGAGAATGGTGGCTTTTCTCTATTTTTGTATAGTTTTGCCTTTTATACTCACGGGGAAGCTCTTGTGGGCTGTTCTCTCACTGGCGTGCGTCGTCTTTCCCAGCGGTGTGGGTTTGCGTTTGGGTGGAGAAAAGGCGATTCTGGCTGCTGCTGCCGCTGCCCGTGCGACAGAGGGACCCCCCCAGCTCCTGGCACCCCCCTCTGAGGAGCTGTTCCCTTGTCCCCGGGGCCAGGGGACCCCCGTCCCGTCCCCGACACGCGCTCTGTGCACTCACCGCTGAGACCTCTCTGTCTTCCTTCCGTGTCACACGCGGCCGCTCCCGTTTCTGTCTCCAAGCTTTGGATTTAGCCTGAATTTGCTGGTTTTGGTGATTTCCCCCTGGAAGTATCACTGACCCTCTTGGAAACTAGAGACCCGCAGCTTTTGGCGGGGGCTTTCCCTTCCACGGGCTTCAATTATTTAACCCAGAGCCGGGGCTTTTCTCCAAGCCTGGGGCAGGAGATGCTGTTGGATGGAGCGTGGGGATGCTCTAGGAGCCGGGACAAATGTCCTGTCCCCTGGGTGCTCCCTGGCCGGGCCGTTGGCATCACCCGCTGCGGGGCTGAGGATGGCTCTTGAGATGATCCTGGGGTCACTGAATTTCACTGAACTTTTAGAGTTGGAAGGGACCATGGAGCTCCTCTAGTCCCACTCCCCTGCTGAAGCAGGATTGCCAGAGCCTGGATTGCCACGGGATGAGCCAGGGCTTTCCAGGTCTAATCCTGGGAGCTCCATCCCCGTGTCACCCCCCCCCCTCCAGCACCAGGAAAGGGTCTTCCTGGAGTCCCAGTGCCTGGAGTGCTGGATTGGGAAGGCAAGGGCCGCTTCAGAAATGGGGTCCCTGCAGGCGGCCACGGCGAGGAGCTGAGCAGAGGAGGAGAAGGTCAGACAGGGGTATGCAAACAGGCAGTTAAATGCTGAAAAGGTAAGAGCCTCCAGCCAAAAGCAAATCTTTTCCCTTCCTTCCCCCCCAACGCCAGCAGAGACGGCGGTTGCCGCTGAGGCCTTTGGCTCTGCCTCGACTGTTGTGTCTTTTACTGAACCAGCCCTTCACCCGATGGTGCTTTCTTCTCTTCTCTTCCCCTGCTCGGGTTTGGCCCCCGTTGCCGGCGCGGGGCCGGGCTGGGCCGGTGGCTGGGGGCACGTTCCCGGGGGGCTGGGACCCGCGCCCCATTTCCCTTTCCTCTGCCCCTTCCCCGTGGGGCTCCTCCCCCCCAGGGGGGGCAGCCAGCCCAGAACCTGCTCTGGGCCCAAGGGGGAAATTAAAATCGAGGAAAAACTCTCCCTTCTCACGAAAAAAATAATCCTGAGCCCTTGTCCCAGGTCGCCCCGTGCGTCCCCTCTGCTGTCCCAGGTGACCAAGTTGTCTGAATTTTGGGGTTTGGTTTTTTTTTTTTTCCTTTTTCTTTCTGTTCCCACTGCTCCTCGTCCTTCAGACTTTTTAATGTATTGATTGTGTTTTCAAATGAATGTTCCATTCACTGAATTGTACTGAATTAAACTTCAGATTTTTAGAGAACACCGGATTTCCCTTCTGGTTTTTGTTTTTCCTGCTTATTTTATTCTTGATTTAATCTTTTTAAATTCCAGGTTCTTGCCCGGCTCCCCAGCCCCCCCCTCACCCCGTCCTCCCTCTGGTTGCTCCTCTCCAGGGCTGGGGGGAGCGGAACTGGGGGCTGTGATTTTTCAAGGTGGTGCCCCCACCAGACAGGTTGAGGGGGGGGGGCGGTTATTAAATAGTAATAAATCACGTTTTGAAGAGCAGGTGGCGCAGTCTGGCTGAGGGTTTGCTGGAGCGGTCCCGCGGTGACCCCGGTGGCTGGGGGTGGTGGTGATTGGCCCCCCCCGCCTCGGGCTCTGCTGGCTGTGGCTCTGGGGGAGAGGGGCAGGGGTTGGTCCCCCCACAGCCCCCGGGGCAGCTCTGCCAGCCCAGGACTGGGCAGGCACTGGGGCAGCAGGTGGGAGCCAGGGGGGGCATGTGTGCCGGAAAGCCATGCACCCCATGGACAACCTCCCACCCGACTGTCCCCCTCCCAGCCATTGTCCCCCCCCTCCCAGCCATGGGAACCCCCTCCCCAGGCCTGTCCCAGCCCTACCTTCCCTGCCCCTCAGCAGCTCCCCGATCCGGCCCCTGAGGCCTTGATGGTCCTTGGCCAACAAATCCTCCGTGTTGTACTGGGAAGGAGGGAACGTGCTGGTGAGCCACCAGCTCGGCATCCCCAAGGACCACCCCCAACAGCCAACTCTCCCTGGGGAAACTGAGGCACAGACCCTCCCAGATGCTCAGCATCCCTCTCCCAGCCTCAGTCCCCCCGCTGTACCCCTGTCTTAGTCATCCCTACCTTGTTGGGGAGCAGGAGGGGCTGGAGTTGATGGGGGGTCCGGAGGCACTGGAGGCGCTGGAGAGGGGTGGTGATGGTGTGCTGGCCCCCGCAGCTCCGCGGCACGGTGGGGTACTTGATCTGGGCTGGTGGCTCCCTGTAGGACAGGACATGGGGATGCTCAGTGCCCGTCACCGTGGCACCCCGTGCTTCACCCTGTGACACCAGGGTGGTGCCCACCCCACGCCAGGGACACCAGGATGCAGGAGAGCTGGGCTGCCCCATTTTGGCAACTTGGTTCACAGGAGGCACCTGACCGCCCCCCAGCCAAGCCTCAGGTCAGGCTGAGACTACACACAGCTCATCACACATGGCTTCAGCCCCCTTGAAACTGAGACCTGGGGCAGTGTGTGTGGGGGGTGCAAATCCCCACAGAGCTGGGGAAGCACAGCAGCCCCTTCGCAGCACATCTCTGTGCCCCTGCCCTGCTCAGAACCCCCTGCCCCCACCCTGGGAAGAGCTCTCCAAGGCTGGGGCAGAGCCCCCCTGCACCCCAGGGGCTGGGGATGGGTCCCCGTGTCCCCTGCCTGCGGCCGTCCTGCTGTTCCTGCTCCGGCTTGAGGCTGCTGTGGGTCTGTCCGGTGAAGTGGGGGAGCAGCGGGGGCGAGGACGGGATGGTCACGATGCACCTGGGGAGGGCAGGAGCCAGGGATGAGTGACAGGGGACACAAGAGCTGCCCAAGCTCGTGGTGGCTCCCCAAAATGCACAAGCTTGTACCCCACAGCATCCCCTGCCCCCCGGGTAGGGTTCCCTGTCCCCCTGCTGCCTGTCAGGACGGCAAGGGGTGGGTGCGCAGGTTTGGACCCCCTGGGCAGACACCCGGACCCCCGTGCCCAGCATGGGGGGACACCACTAGCACCCATCACCCCACCCATGGTGCCGGGGGGGGCTACTCACGGGCCAGGTACACGCACGTCGAGGGGCCGATCACACGAGAGACAGTGGAAATGTGCCAGCAGCAGCCTGCAGCGGGGAGAAAAGGGCTGGGTGAGCTCCGGGGTGGGGGGGGACATGGCTCTGCAGGCAGCAGTGCAGTGTCCCCAAAGCCACCACTGTCCCCATCACACTCACTTCCTAATCCCAGCGGCATCATCCTCCTCTGCCTGCAGCGCCTTCCCCTGGAGCTGCTCCAGGATGGTCTCCCACTGCCCCTCCAGCTGCTGCCGGAAAGGCCCCAGCTCCAACCGGTCCAGCTGTGGATGGGGACACACCTTCAGCCACCCCGGGATGGGACATTGCGGTTCCCGGGGGGGCACAGCAGGGAGGGGGGGACCCTCTCAGGGAGATGCTGCCTCAGGCTGCCCGATCCCGAAGGTGCCACTTTGTGGGACGGGGACGAGCCAGCCCTCACCTTGGTGGCCAGCTCTTTGCTGAGCTGCTGCTGGACCTGCTCCTGGCCCGTCACCCGGCTCAGCATCTCCTGGAACATCTCCTTCAGCCGCTCCATCCACGCGTCAAACTCAGAGTGATTGACTTTGCCGGCCAGGGCGCTTTTGTCGGCTTTCTGGCCAGAGGGAAAGGCAGGAGAGCAGTGGGGATGGGGGGAGAGCAGTGGGGATGGGGGGAGAGCAGTGGGGATGGGGGGAGTCACTATGGCAGGGCCAGCTCCTGTCAGGAGAAGTGGCCGCGTGGCCCCACTCGCCCTATCACCACCATGAGATTGGCCCCAGGGGAGAAAGAGGCACCTGGAGAGGGACCCACAGCTGGTCTGGAAATCCTCCCTCCCCCCGGCCAGTTCTGCCACCGAGCATCCAAGGGACAAGGGACATTTGTCACCCTGCCCGGACCCCCCTTGGCGGGTGCTGGGTCCCCTCGAAGCCATACCACATCGATTCCCAACTCCAGGTCCTCTTTGTTTGCTTTCTCCTTTGCCAACTTTTCCATGGACTGGAACAGAACCTTCAGACACAGAAAGTACCCCATGATGCCATGGGGTGGGACCTGCCCCCCACGTCTCCCTCGCCCCTCAAAACCTCCAGGAATGGCATTTGGAGCCCCTGCAGGGCTGGGAGCCGGCTGGCAGGGGGACAGCCCCCTCGTGGTCCCCAGCCTGGGCTCTGCTGGAGGATGCTCTGACCCCACGGGGGGTTCAGCCACCCACCTTGATGTCTTGCTGATTCTGGTGACTCTCATCCAGGATGTTGCCCACGATGGAGCTCAGCTTCTCGTGGTCCCCTTGCACCTGCATGACCATGGCCTGGATCTGTTTCAGCAGCTCCTCATCCTGCTGCAGGGAGGAAGACAACAAGGTGATGTCGTGCGAGGTGGGGGCTGCCCCATGGGGACAGGCCCAGGTTACTTGTGGCGGCCATGGGCTATCAGTGCCAGCAGGACATTTGCACCAAGGCTTGAGTTTCCTTCCTGCTGACTGTGCAAACCAATCTGGGGGCAGCAAGAGGGTCCCCCACGTTACAGCAAAGCACAACCAGCTGGGGGGGCCCCCGCAGCCCCTTCCCAAGCCCCCCACGCTGTCACTTCCCTACCTGGCTCTTCCTCGGCAGCTGCCTGACCATCTTGCCCCCCGCCTTCCGGGACATCAAGGCGTCCACCACCTCTTTCAGGTTCTCATAGCGCCGGAGGAGCTGCCCCACCTGCGCCCTGGTGTCCCCACTGCAGGTAGGGCACGCTGCCTGCTCCTGCCTCGGGCCCTCAGGTGCCCTCAGCTTCTCCTGCTGCAGGAAGGGGAGAAGGAATCACCTCTGAGATGGGATGGACGTGGCCAATGAGCCCTGGTGCTGTGGAGCCTCAATGGCCCCATCTGGTCAGGGGAGGTGGCCAGGAACTCCACCAGAACGCCCCAAAACCAAGCAGGCGGGTGGTGGGAGCTCCCCCCACCTCTCACCTGGGCCAGCATCAGCTCGGCCATCTCGGCCATAAACTTCTGCAGCGTGGCCTTGGTTATCTCCTGCTGCTCTGCCAGTTCTTTCAGCTCCTCTTTCATCTGCTCCAGGTCCTTCAGCTTCTGCATCATCTTCTTCAGGTCAGGCTCTTTCAGCTCCTGCAGCTCCTTCTTCATCTCCTGCAGCTCCTGCAGCTCCTGCAGCTCCTGCAGCTCCTTCTTCATCTCCTGCAGCTCCTTCTTCATCTCCTGCAGCTCCTGCAGCTCCTTCTTCATCTTCTGCAGCTCCTGCAGCTCCTTCTTCATCTTCTGCAGCTCCTTCTTCATCTTCTGCAGCTCCTGCAGCTCCTTCTTCATCTCCTGCAGCATGGACCTGGCCAGCAAGACGGGGGTACAGTCAGGCTTAGCCTCCACGGGGCTGTTGGGGGGTGTCTGTGGCCCCCCAAACCAGGATGCTCCCAGCCCACCCAGGTCTCTTCCAGCCCCACGTGGAAGGAAACCCTCTCCCATCCTTTTACCCCGGTGGCAGGGTGGTCTGGGCGCTGCCATCCACCTCCCAGTCGGCTCCAGGCGCTCCAAGAATTCCAAAAGCATCTTTCAGCTGCCTGATCTGGGAACGGTGGTGGTGGCAGAGTCAGGGCACGACCCCTGTGTCATTCCAGCACGGGAGCCCTTCGGGTGCCCCCTCCATGCCCAAAACCCCCTCCTGGCACCCCCACAGCCCCCTTGGGGACTGCCACCAGCTCACCTTCCCCTTCTCATCCTGCAGGTTGCTGGCCTGGCCGTCCCGGGAGGACACCTGGCCCCCGAAGGAGACGCTCCTCTCATCGCGAGGGACACCGCTGGAGCCCGGGGTACCCACGGGCACGGCCCACTCTTGCAAAGGGGACGTGCCAGGGCTTCCTGGCTGCATCCCTGGAGCGTAGGTCTCAATGCCGGGGGATCCTGTATGCATCCCTGGGATGTGGGTCTTGATGCCAGGGGATCCTGTATGCATCCCTGGGATGTGGGTCTGGATGCCAGGGGATCCTGTATGCATCTCTGGGATGTGGGTCTGGATGCCAGGGGATCCTGTATGCATCCCTGGGATGTGGGTCTGGATGCCAGGGGATCCTGGCTGCATCCCTGGGATGTGGGTCTGGATGCCAGGGGATCCTGGCTGCATCCCTGGGATGTGGGTCTGGATGCCAGGGGATCCTGGCTGCATCCCTGGGATGTGGGTCTGGATGCCAGGGGATCCTGGCTGCATCCCTGGGATGTGGGTCTGGATGCCAGGGGATCCTGGCTGCATCCCTGGGATGTGGGTCTGGATGCCAGGGGATCCTGGCTGCATCCCTGGGATGTGGGTCTGGATGCCAGGGGATCCTGGCTGCATCCCTGGGATGTGGGTCTGGATGCCAGGGGATCCTGGCTGCATCCCTGGGATGTGGGTCTGGATGCCAGGGGATCCTGGCTGCATCCCTGGGATGTGGGTCTGGATGCCAGGGGATCCTGGCTGCATCCCTGGGATGTGGGTCTGGATGCCAGGGGATCCTGGCTGCATCCCTGGGATGTGGGTCTGGATGCCAGGGGATCCTGGCTGCATCCCTGGGATGTGGGTCTGGATGCCAGGGGATCCTGGCTGCATCCCTGGGATGTGGGTCTGGATGCCAGGGGATCCTGGCTGCATCCCTGGGATGTGGGTCTGGATGCCAGGGGATCCTGGCTGCATCCCTGGGATGTGGGTCTGGATGCCAGGGGATCCTGGCTGCATCCCTGGGATGTGGGTCTGGATGCCAGGGGATCCTGGCTGCATCCCTGGGATGTGGGTCTGGATGCCAGGGGATCCTGGCTGCATCCCTGGGATGTGGGTCTGGATGCCAGGGGATCCTGGCTGCATCCCTGGGATGTGGGTCTGGATGCCAGGGGATCCTGGCTGCATCCCTGGGATGTGGGTCTGGATGCCAGGGGATCCTGGCTGCATCCCTGGGATGTGGGTCTGGATGCCAGGGGATCCTGGCTGCATCCCTGGGATGTGGGTCTGGATGCCAGGGGATCCTGGCTGCATCCCTGGGATGTGGGTCTGGATGCCAGGGGATCCTGGCTGCATCCCTGGGATGTGGGTCTGGATGCCAGGGGATCCTGGCTGCATCCCTGGGATGTGGGTCTGGATGCCAGGGGATCCTGGCTGCATCCCTGGGATGTGGGTCTGGATGCCAGGGGATCCTGGCTGCATCCCTGGGATGTGGGTCTGGATGCCAGGGGATCCTGGCTGCATCCCTGGGATGTGGGTCTGGATGCCAGGGGATCCTGGCTGCATCCCTGGGATGTGGGTCTGGATGCCAGGGGATCCTGGCTGCATCCCTGGGATGTGGGTCTGGATGCCAGGGGATCCTGGCTGCATCCCTGGGATGTGGGTCTGGATGCCAGGGGATCCTGGCTGCATCCCTGGGATGTGGGTCTGGATGCCAGGGGATCCTGGCTGCATCCCTGGGATGTGGGTCTGGATGCCAGGGGATCCTGGCTGCATCCCTGGGATGTGGGTCTGGATGCCAGGGGATCCTGGCTGCATCCCTGGGATGTGGGTCTGGATGCCAGGGGATCCTGGCTGCATCCCTGGGATGTGGGTCTGGATGCCAGGGGATCCTGGCTGCATCCCTGGGATGTGGGTCTGGATGCCAGGGGATCCTGGCTGCATCCCTGGGATGTGGGTCTGGATGCCAGGGGATCCTGGCTGCATCCCTGGGATGTGGGTCTGGATGCCAGGGGATCCTGGCTGCATCCCTGGGATGTGGGTCTGGATGCCAGGGGATCCTGGCTGCATCCCTGGGATGTGGGTCTGGATGCCAGGGGATCCTGTATGCATCCCTGGGATGTGGGTCTGGATGCCAGGGGATCCTGTATGCATCCCTGGGATGTGGGTCTGGATGCCAGGGGATCCTGGCTGCATCCCTGGAGCGTAGGTCTCAATGCCGGGGGATCCTGTATGCATCCCTGGGATGTGGGTCTGGATGCCAGGGGATCCTGGCTGCATCCCTGGGATGTGGGTCTGGATGCCAGGGGATCCCGGCCGCATTCCCGGGGTGGTGGGGCTGGCATCAGAACTCCCCCTCCTCCCGGCGGTGGGAGCACCTGCCCCCTTCTCGGCGGTGGCTGCTGCTCCTTGCCTCCCCGCTTGCATCCCCAGGGAGCCAGGCTGTGTCCCCAGCGTCCCCTCACCAGCCGTGGGCACAGCCTGTCCCCCTGCTCCCTCCGGCCCCAGGGCTGATCTCCCCCCACGCTGAATGTCCGTGTCCTCCTGGGGGGACTCACTGGAGGGGGACTGGCTCCCGCTGCTCTCCTGGAAAGAGGAGGCAAAGGGGAGGGGGTTGAGGGGCAGCCCCACAGCCCCAAGGACAGAGCCCAGGCCCCTGCTGTGTCCCCCCTCCCTGTCCCCACACCACCCAGGGAGCTGGGGACACAACTGCCTCCTGTCCCACTGCAAGATCCAGGGGTTCACGCAGACGTACCTCATCCATGTCCATCACCCTCCGGTCGCGGGGTCCCGGCAGCCGGCCGGCAGCTTCCTGGAGTCTGTCCTGGAGCTGGGCGAGGAGAAGGGACACCAGTTCGGATATGGGAGCAGGGTTTCAAAGGAGCAAATTCTCTTGGTCACGAGACAGAGGGACACTGGGCTGTGCCTGGGGGCTGGGGCTGTAGTGCCCAGGGCAGAGCTGTCTCTCCCCTCCATCCCAGCTCCCACCTGCCATCATTTTTGATGCCTGAGCATCCCTTTGGGTGACCCCACAGGTGCCTCTACCCCAGCACGACCTGCAGGCAGTGGTACCTGTCCCTGCCCTCCCTGGGGCTGATGGGCAGAGGGAGGGGGGCACTGGGTGGGGTGGGCTGAGCTCTCTGACTCCCCCCCTTCCCTCCTTGTCCCTTCCCGAGGGGTGACATTGGTGGCTGGTGGCCACGGGGCTGGGGGTACAACAGGGAGAAGGGCAGGGGGGGTAGGGCCCAGCACCCTCCCAGGGGCACCAGCAGAGCTCACCAAGCCAAGGGCCTCCTGCATTGCCTGGATGTCCTCTCCCATGCGGGACTGAGCCGCCTTCATGTCACCGATCTCATCCAGAGCCTGGGAGGGGGGATGGAGTGAGCCCCAGGGAAGGGTCCCTGGGAACCAGGACCTCACCCCTGCTGTGGTCTTTCCTTGAATCCTAATCTTATTCCTGCCCATCGAGGATGCCTGGGCAGTGCCGTGCAGGATGAGACCTCCTTCCTGGTCGCCAGGGTGAGGCAAGGGGATTTGCGGTGGGAGATGATGCCCATGAGGGACTGGTGGAGCCTCTCAGCTGCCCCAGGAGAGGACGCGGTACCGGTCAGGAGAGGGGAAGGGAGGGATGAAGAGGGTGGTGGGGCTGGGGTGCTGACCCTCCAGCCAGAGGAGCCAAAGGCACTGGGGGCTGGCTGGGACCCACCACGACTTGCTGAGGGCAGCCTGGGGAGGGCCCAGAGTAAACGGAGCAGCACATCAGTCCCAGATCTTCCTCCCCAAAACTCCATCCCTTTCCCACTCTAAAGCCCCATGAGCCACCGTGAGCTGGTGCATAAACCAGACCTCGGTCCAGGGGCAGCAACAAGGGTGGCACAGAGCCCTGGGGAGGGGGCATCTGGCAGGGCAGCACCCAGGGGACCGGCAAGAGCTTCTACCTTGGAGATGCCGCTCTCGTTCTCTTTGACCTTCTCCTTCATCTCCCCCACATCAGTGGCCACGGAGGCGAGTCGGGCGCCGCCGCTCGCGGTTCCTGCCAGCGGGTCCGTCCCAGAGAGCTGCTCCCCGGGGCCCTGGGCCCTGTCCCCCTCCTGCTCCAGCCCGGGGGGTGTCTGTGCCGCCTGCTCCCACCCGAGCTGGGCCAGGCCCTCCAGCATGGTGCGCAGCAGGCTGTGCAGCACCCTGAAGTTGATGGCTCCGGGCTCGGGCGTCCCGATGGCCAAGTCCAACATCTCCAACAGCCGGGGCTCGGCCATGGCTGCGGCCCTGAGGCCACTGCAGGAGGAGGGGAGGGCCTTTCTGCCTGGGGGGAAGGAGTGGGGGAAACAGGGATGGGGGGGGGGGGGGGGCTGTCGCTCCTGCTCCGGGGGAAGGGGGGGACAAGGGACAATGCGGCGTCTCCCGTTGCCAGGCGACGCGCCGCCCCCTGGAGAAGGAGGCCCCGCCCCCGGCCGGTGCCTGGGATGCGGGGATCCCGGGAACCCACGGGGATGGGGGGGCAGGGGGACAAATCCTGCCCCTCGCCCCCAGAGCCCGGCCCCGGGAAGCCCAGGCCAGCGCCCCCAGAGCCCAAAGAGCCAGAGCCCGAGGCGGGGGGGGGGCCAATCGCC